TAAGATACACATAGACGCGAACTAGACAAGGGGATGCAGGTGATAGGGGAGACAGAGCAACTAAAGAAGACAGAGACCTAAGCCATAAGACAGAACTCAAAGAAACCAAAAACTAGACAGTATAAATAATATCATAAACTCAAAAACCCTGGGTCGACGACCCAGGCATCCTAACACTGTCTTTATTAATTGGGCATACCTTCTCTTTTTGGTTCGCCTGGTTTTATTCGATTTTATTCCGGATTGCTGCTTGCAACCACGCCTCTGTGATCGGATTTAAAGATTGAAGTTTTAGTTGTTTATGATATGTAGCGAGCCTGACGCTCAGTGTCCTTTTATTCTTTTAACGTGTTCTGTCTTTTATTCCAGTGAACGGAGGACGTGCCAGTGTCCCTGGGACCTCAGGTGGTGGATCGTTTTCACACTTTCCTTTGTACAGCACCGGGTGGGCTGTAGTGATTTTCTTTTTGTGTGATTTTCTTTTGGGTCAACGGCTGCTGGTAAGAATCAGTTCCATTATTGTTTTATTGTAACTTTAGGACACTGTCAACAACGACGCTACATTTCGTTTTCTTAATATTTTACTCTTTATTTCTTTAACTATAAATAAAACTGAATTCATATTGGAGCCAACCTGCATTGGTGTGTATCCTTGAATCTGTGCGACCTCTTTTATTCGCTTTTATCTATTTTTCTTAAAAATATATTTTCTGGGGGTGAAATTCCCCTAGGTGGCGTTATCGTTTTTAATCTTTTTTTTTAATCTAACCCCGCCGACCACTTGGTCACACTAAGTTTGTGTTGCAGCGTCCTGAGGTGGTGAGTCATGGAAGTTTCCTTTTCTAATATTAAAGCTTTTGCTAAAATGTTAAACGTGCCTTTATGAGATGTATAGTGGTTAGCACACAGCAGGAAAGTTCCTGGTTTGAACCCTGGCTGGAGTTTGTATGTTCTCTCTGTAGCAGCTTGAGTCCACTGACATTTATATTAGGTTGATTAAGGTGCTAATATTCCCAGTGGCGTGTCCAGCCCCCCCCCCAACCAGACTGGCCACCCCAGGTGCCACCCCGAAGCTAAAACAATAAAATTCAATCAAATATCGAATGTACGATTATGTTTTCACAGTGAAGGTGATATATGAGAGTATGAAAGTGCAGCATCGGCTTGTGTAGTATGAGCATCATGTTAGCAAAGGAAGGAGAGCCAAGCATGAAAGTCAGCACCGCAGAAAAAAATTGAGGAAAGAAAATGAGGAGAGAACAAATGTCCCGGTAAGTATTATTAAGTTTGAGTTTAGAAAACTTCGGTGAAATTAGAATATCAAGGAAAAAATTATTGCAACCGTGGAATTTTTCAGACAGTAGGCTACTGGGGGGAGCTAGCATAAGAGTTATGAGTTATAAGATATAATCTAAGTCGTAACATTGCTGTATGGAGCTGCAGATTTGGTTGCATTTTAACATAGCTGGACTGGCCATCGAGAATACTGGGCATTTGCCCGGTGGGTTGATGACTTTTTTTTTTTTTTTGTAATGGCATGAACAATGAGAGGTGGTGGATTGGCCAGATGCAGGTCGATGTGTAAAAATAACTCAGTTGTTTGGTGGTGGCTATGGCGGAGCTTCCACAGAGGCAACAGGTGGATGAGGGAAGGGGAGGCAGGAGGAGGAGAGACCCGAGGCGGCCGCCAGTCCGAGTGTCAGGTGAACTGAACTTCAGGTAAGAAGTTATGACCTGCAGTCTATCTGGGTCAGATATAAACCAAGTTTAGGTGGAGTTTATTTTCGTTGTGCTGACTTTTTACAGTCAGTTACAATAACTCGTACTGCGTACTAGCTAGCATGACAGAGTTTCTATACAGCTGGGTGGGTGCTATGATGTTACTGATAGTGAACTTTATTTTATTCATAAGGTTAGTTAGTAGAGTTGCCAACGGCTCCTTAAAAATGGAATGGTCCCTCATTCAGAGAAAATATTACACGTTTCGTATTGAGCTGAGAAGAGACAGTTTGTCCCGGACTTTAGCTAATGGAAAAAGACACAAAGCTGGAGTTATTCTGTGTCTTTGCTGCACAGCTGCCTCTTCTTCTCTCATTCTCTCCTGTTGCTACTTCAATCATGAAACTGATCAATGATCAGCTGATCGGCTTTTCTCTCTTGTTTGTTTATCGCCCACTTTGCGCCAGAAAGAGGAAACCAGCAGATGTCGCGCTAAACAACAGCAGCACGTTTAAGCTTGATCAGCTGTTGTTAGAATTTATTTAATATTAATTTCTAGTATCAGCTGATGTTTGCTGGAGCCACAGCTGCAAAAAAGCTGCTGGTCATGATATCGGTTTGGTTATCTGGTGAGAGGGAAACATGAAGATGAAACCAGGAGATGTCCTTACTGAATCATCAGAGCTGAACAGGTGATGGAGAAACAGGTTTACCTTTTAGGTGACATGAATGAGTTGAAGGGAAGTTATGAACTGTTTCTGAGAGACAAATAACACCAGGATCCTTTTTCTATGTAGCTGACAGCTGGTAACTGTGCAGGGGCGGATCTAGCAAAGTGTTGCCAGGGGGCCAGGTAGGGCATTAACAGGGAAAGGGGGGCACAAAGAAATACTTTTCTTTCTTATTCTCATTTAAAATATCTAGCTTTTATTAAATAATTATCTGAATCTTACAACCAAAGTTTTTATCTGACGTAAAATGTATAGAAATCATACATATACCAACAAGACTGTACATCACTGTCACAACAGCGTTTGTTTTCATTCAAAGTCTTTATGGCTTTAATACCTGGTGGGCCAGTCTTAGTCAAAATGCCCTTTTTTTGTACATCCATAATTATCTTTCAATAAACACTAAAAAACAAATTACTTTTTAAATTTTTATTTTGCATAGTTTTTCATCTCCAAGTGCTAGAATAATGCATTTTTTTCTAACAATGGAGCCTAACATATGTAACAGTAAATATGAACGGATGGCAGAAGTTTCAAAAACTCAAACACCAATTGAACTAACATGAAGACGACAACCTAATTAAACAGTGAACATTCAGAAATGAGCAGATCTGAGTCCCAATTCATCAATTGGAACTAAAATTTTAAACAAGACAAAAACACAAAGTGAAATTGTCCCTCATAACAATAGGTAGTAGTTTATAATAATAATAATAATAATAATAATAATAATAATAATAATAATAATAATAATAATAATAATAATATCACACTATTAAGCTTTATTAATAAGGTATAAGTGCTTAATTAATAATTTATCTAGAATTATTCTTCCTTTGTATGGCATTCATAAATACAGATATATTATTGTTACTATGATTATGACTAGCAGTGATAGCTGTACATGTTACACCATGTACAGCAGTGATAGTGTGGTACATGGTGTAACAGTAATAAATGGATAAACAATCTGTATTTATAAATGACATACTAATGAATATATTAATGTACTGTCATTATTGTGTGTGTGTGTGTGTCATTCTGAAGTCGCATAGTGTTGTTTTAAAAACATAATGTTTTGAAGAGCTCAAACAAAGTGCCCAATGACGAATATATATATTGCAGTGTGGTGCATCATTTCCCTCAAGGCCTAGTAGATTGTTGTGAAGTTTGAAGAAAAAAAAATAGATTTTCACTTTTGGTGTGACCTTGACCCGATTTTCACCAAAATTAAATCATCTTGAGTTGTTATTATTATCTATCATCACACGAAACTGATATCTTGAAAACTGTGGATGCTAGACTGCTAACAAACAGACAGACAAACAAACATGATGGATTATATACTCTCTCCCTATGAGGGGAGAATAAAGTGCAGCTCACCAGATTAGTACACGTCGTTATACTAACTAATTCTAGGATCATAAACTTACACCTAGAGACACTATAGATTTAAATTTATATTAAAAGAAACTGAAGAGGGAGAAAAAGATCTGTGGAACATTTCCATCACCTGGTTATCGTTTTTAATCCAATTACCTGTCCAACAAGCCTACATTAAAAAACAGTTCCAAAAATAACCTTTCTCCTCCTGCTGGGTTTGTGTTGACTGCAGGGGTTGATACACACTCCCGAGCCTTACAATGGCATCATCAACATTTTTTCCACACAGGCCTACAATCAAGAAAGCAGACTGCTGGGCAGTAGAGCTGATATGAGGGATCCTTGGGTCGTTCATTACTTGGATATTGGCATGAGTTGACACTGTAAAGTGGATAAAACAACAATAAGTGAGCTTTAAATGAAATCAAGAAGTCTCTGATCGAAAAAAGGATAGTGGTATTATCAAAGAAAAGCTGACTTTGCATTACCTGAGTTGATCACAGTAAAGGGAAACATCTGCATTGCTTTCTTTTTAAATGCCAGGAACACAGTGAGCTTGTTGAGTACAAGGCGAATGTTGGTGAGACGCTGGAGAGGATGGGACGAGGCAGCAGTCTTAACCCCTTGGAGGATGGCATGTGCCACAGAATCGGGGTCCAATCCACCAGATCCTGGACAACCATTCAAACAAAACTCCATAACTAACTTTGTTGTTTTATGCATCTTTAATGACTCCCACACTACTCACCAGCACAGATGGCAGGAACGGCTAAAGACTTGTAACCAGAAGACTCACAAAGTTGAATGATGCGACGAAGCAGCTGCTCAATGACTGCTGTATCTTTTTTTCCACACACGTGTAAAATTGCTTTACAAGGGAACATGCCAGGCGGTGTTTCCAAAATCTCTTCACTGTTCACTTTTCCTGCATGGATGCGATAAAGACAGCATGAGTTGATAAGATTTGTTAGAAATTATTTATGATGTAAATACAAATTTGGAAATATTTCTCTGAATCATTCTTCTCACCGTTTTTCAGTGCATTCTCAACCTGAGGCCCAGCCTTTCTTAAGATGTCTTTGCACACTCCATCTGTACATAAATAGTAGTAATAATAATAACCATTATTTATATAAAATTGTTGGAAAATGTCTAATAAGAATTTTAATGGCCTGTAAAGGCCAGTCAGCGCTCCTACAATATCCTCTTTAATACACAATGGGAGCTGGGTAACTAATGGTGCTTGGATGGTGTTCAGCAATGAGTAGCTTGTGTTTACTCATGATTAACAGCATCTTCAATGGAAGTGTACTAATAAAAAATGTAACGTAACTAAATGTAGTTTTAAATTGCCTGAACAGTACTTTACCTGTCTGAAAGTCTCTGAAGTCCGTTGTGTTCACCACAGCATCTGTAGTCTCATTAGTGATGTCACCAAACACCACTTGTAGTTTAACTCTGCCTTTCAGAGTTATGGTGATGTCAGCAAGGTCACTCGTGGGCGCTGAGAGGAAGAAGAGCAGATTAAGTTTAATATTTGCCTCATGTTGTTGCTGTATTGTTATCTTTAGTACAAATTTGATGTAGTTCCAGTACTTTGAAGATGTTGTTTTTCTCTGATGAGGACCTGACAGGATCTCTCCACCAGTTTTGTGTTTTGTCTGCCATCTCCCTGAAAGTACCACTGCACCGCCAGTTCATTTAACACCACTGTATCAGTTGACAGCTGCGCTAGACTCGTGGCTAAGTCTGTCCGAACTTTCTGAACCAGAGAACGAGGACCCTTCACGAGCACACAGGGATGTGGAACATGTGAGGCTTTTAAGGTCACCATAGTCTCCTTCATACTGATCAGGACTAATACTTTATCAAAGCAGTCAACCAGTTCAGGATGTGGCAGTTTCACCTCTTCTTCAGTTGTAACCTTATTTATCTGGAAGTCACGAAGGACCTCATTGAGCTTGTTAACATCTTCACTGTAGCCCACCAGTCGTACTTTGGTCATTGCAGTTCCAGTGGCTCCTGGCATGAAGCTCGCATCCACTCTGAGCTCACTAATGTTTGCTTCTTTCTTCGCTTTCATCAGGATTTCCCTCACTCTGTCTAAATCTGGAGGTACTGCTGCAGCTCCCTGCAGTTCTATAATTTCCACTTTGAGCTCTCTCATCACTGCTGCCTCGGCCTCATTCAGAGCATCAGAGGACAAACTGGACAGAACCAGATCTGAACCCACCTCAAAGAAAACAGGGTTTCTGAGGCTCTGCTGGAAACGAGCTTGGTATTTGGAGATGGCTCCGCTGGTTTTGATGAAGGTTAGCAGAGCTGTGGGGAACTTGACTCTTTTTTCCTTTATGTTCTTAATCAGTTCATCTAGTTTTGCAGCTCCTGACTGCACATCTGTGTCAGGGCCCTCCAAAGTGATTGTGGCACTACCTCTGATGACTTTAACATCTGGATAGTTAGCGAACATTTCTCGATTGAACTCTTCTTCTACGAGCTTGAACAATTTCTCTACAAGTGGCAGCTCTTTTATGGTGGGTAGGCTTTTTTCCATTCTTGCAATCTTCTCCTTCACAACATCAACCTCTCCCACAACCACAGCATAGCCACTCTCTGTGTAAACTTTGATATCATCTGTCTTAAAGGACGGGTCCTGCAGTACCATTTGCACCTGTTTTGGTTCGACCACATGATAGCAGAGGTAGGTGTCGATGAGACTGGTGAAGACCCAAGCCAGCTGTTGCTCCATTTTCTCTACAGAGCATCCTCCCGACCCCTTCCCCATGTCCTCTTTAACTACAGCCTTCTCCTCCTCAAAACTGAACTCCACCGTGCAGCCGACTGAAGAGAGCTGCTTTTCCAGAATTTTGAATGCTTTGATGTTGTCATTCAGGTAATGCAGCAGGAACATATTCAAGGAGAAACTTTTCTCAAGACCTTTTGCTTTTGCTGTCTACAAAGGAAAATTATTTTAGGCAAATAGAAATAGTACCATTCACCCTAAGTAACACATAGACATGCATATCTAATTAAAGTGCTTCATGCCTGAGTAACCCGAAGAACATTTCAAAGCTCAGGTGTTCAAAACTAGTTTGGCCAGATTATCACTGGACTTTGACTTTGTTTTCTTTGCTATGGTCTGTTTTGCAGGTTTTGCCATTATTCAGACACCAAAAGGTTACTGAAGCTCCGAGTCAAACAATATCTGCTTATAGAAATGAATTTAAACTTTTGACATTTTTGACTGCAAAGGAAAGCAATGCTTTACTTCTGTTACCTCCCAAACTAGAGTACACACGCATGCACAGACACACACACAGAATAAATACAGTGTAAATGTTACAAGTGTCGCATTAACAGTAAGCGGGACTTACACATGAAGTTCTCTGCAGTTATTTTGGTATTTTTTGCCCCGTGACAAATAAGCAAACTGAATGTGTGGCAAAGTGTTAGTACTCTACTCACTTGGCAGCCCCCTGAGAATATAGTATTGCGAAAGAAAACCAGTGTTGTTTTATTTTTAATCACTAGGTTTTGTCAAACACCTGTCAATAAAAAAGTAAAAGCAGTAATAAGTGTAAACGTACCTGTGGCCAATTTGCAGATCCATGGCTAGGACAGGATTCACTCAATGTTATATTTAAATCTCGACCATTAAAATTGATGGTGTGTGTGTTTCTTCTCAAAACATGCTCTTGATCTAAAGTATATCAGAAAAACAAAGTTCAGCTGTTATGGGAATGCACATATCTAAACTGTAAATTTGGGCTCTAATCTACTTGTAATGCATTTGAACCCAGCAGGGCTTCTTACCTTCTTTTTCCTTAAAACAGATCTGGTAGGTTTTATCTCCGACCTTTTCTATTATCCCACAGTCACCTCCCCCAGAATGTCTTTTTTTCTGAAAGTATCTCCTGATCTTCTCCTTCTCACTGTCTGTGAGCTCCTCCGCTTCAAAGAACACTGGGTGCAGACATTCATCCATTTTGCTTCAAATCCTGATCTGGAGAAACTTTCAATGTCTTTCAAACTAGCTCCACAGTGAAAAGTGCTCTCACCTTTGATTTGCATTTGCACTTCACCATACCAACAAAGGGTGTTTTTCATTATGAACACACCCAGTGTGATCGCTGACAGCTGATCAGCTCTAACTGGGACATTTCCTGTAAAGGTGTATTTATAGATCAGAACTATTAAGGGAACACTCCTGAGCTTGAAATATTTAAGTTGGAAATCTTTACTGACTTACTCTCGGTGATTTGTTGAGAACAAAAATGATGCAACTCTAATCCAAACACACATCAGTGGAAACAAAAAGCATGAAGCGTTTGAGTGTTGAATTAAAAAATGTTTCTTTAATATTTTGTCAGTATAGCATAAGATTATTTATTTGACCTGTATGAAAAGCTACACTTTGCACTTTATCTTTGGTGAAGTTTTTATTAATGTTACAGCACATGATAGAGGTCATGACAGAGGCAAAGAAAGTGGAAATGATCCATAACAAGTCTGACCGAGATACTGCTTCAGCGCAGGTGTTCAACTTAAAATCATTTTATACAACAGGAAAAAAAACATTCTTACTAAATAAAAACTTCAAAAGCTGACATTACCGCTACAAACCAACAGATGTCCTACAGAGACAAAAAAAACTCTTTGTCCTTTCTTATGTTTTACTTTCATTTTCTGGAACACACCCCGTGACGTATGTTAACCTTTACGGGCATTTCAAAGTTTGTCTTCTTATCCATGCACATAAAATTCTGTTCATTTTGAAATGATACCGAAAACATAGTTGTGACCATCTTAATATGATGTTGATTATGATATATAATCTCTTTTTTTTTTCACCTGTGGTTATTTAATGACAGAGAAAAAAACACTGCTGATGCACAATGAGAACAATGAAGCCTTTAATCCACCAACGCAATGAACTCTACTGTGATTAATAGGCTTGTAAAACTTGTCTGTGTGATAATAAACAGAATGTATACAGTCATTTGCACAAATCATAAACATCTTGATTTTTTTTATTTGTCACACAAATAGGTGATTTCATGTCTCCCAACTTGCCATGAAGTTTTAACGTTCCACGTAACAGAGTAAGCATGGTAGTGGTAGAAATTAGAGAGTCGACGAGCCATTAAATGCTAAACTGATTTCCTCTCCGCAGATATGAACGATCGCCCCCTGTTATTGGAATTAGGATTAGGATTGAACTTTATTGTTATTACACATGTATAAATACAGGGTAATGAAATGCAGTTTGCATCTAATCAGAAGTGGAAGAGTAGTAATTGCAATAACAGCAGATTATTTACAGATAAGTTATGTAGAGAGCAAATATACAGATGTACTATGGGCAGATGTACAGATATACTGATATATACAGTTTAGTGCAGAAAAATGATGGAGTAGTTACAAACAGATTATGTACAGAGAGACCAAACATACAGATGAACAACAGACAAATGTACAGATGTACTGTTGTACACATATGTACAGATATACAGATGATCTGTGTAGCATACAGATGTTCTATATTGCTATATAGACGGGCAGATATACAGATGTACTATGAACAACTATACAGATCTGCTAAATATATACAGATGTAAGGTGTGTAGTAAACAGAGCTACAGAGCCTATGACTATATCTACAGTAGTGGAGTGGAGTGCTCTGAACAGTCTGTAATAGTGAACAGTGTACACACTATAACATGGACATGGACTTTTTTTGCTGCGCCCCTCTTTGTTTTACAAGAAAAATGTTCGCGCCCCCCTTGCGCGCACATGCACGCACGAACACATCCTCCAACCACACACACCCATATTTTGCTCCACTGCGGTTTATTTCACACCTCAAACATTTAGTAAACAATTAAGCAAATACAAGTAATCTGCAATAAATGACAGGTAGTAAGGAAATAAACTACTAACTCTTTTATGCTACATCCACACCTACATGGGTATTTTTGAAAACGCAGCTGTTTCGTCCACACGTAAACGATGTTTCGAATCACCGAGATTTTTTAAAACTCCTTTTTTGCATACAGAGTTCGTCACGCAACATCAAAGGGATGTGCCTGTTTTCACGTCACGCTGTGCGCCACGTTATTGTTTACATGAGATGAATTGTAGAATGGCAGGTAGAGACAAAATACTGTTAATCTGACTGTCTTCAGGTTTTACACACTTACATGCACACACGCAGTTACTGTCCCTGCATTTACAAAGGCAGAGGCGTCACGATGTGATTATTTTACGTGTAGTTGTTTTTTTTCCTGTGTAATAATATTCAACATTGCTATCAATACATTTTTCAATCCCTCTGCAAAATGGGTTCAAAAACATAAACAACTGTTGGATGCTGTTTGTCCGTGATTTGTACAGGGGAACAAATCGTGGCAGGATCAGCCTGATATTATTTGTATCCCGCTGTAACTTTACTGTATAAAGAGCTAACATCTCCAAAATGTCAGGAGTAGTGAGTCATTACAAGAAGTGTTTGTGAACTAAAAATCAAGAATGTGGGATACTGTTTGTCCGTGATTTGAAGAACCCAGCCCATGCTCCCGACGAAGGGAAAACCAATTCTACAGGGGAGACCTACCTTGCACTTGTGCAGGTGAAGCCAAAGGGAAGATATGCTTCACCATATTTTCTAGTCTTTGGTTCAGCGATGCTTCATCTCCTGATTTGCGTTTGTGGAGGCGCCCCGTGCTAGCAGTGTCCAAGCTTTGGGAGGGTTTTTGTTTTGTTTTTTCCTTTTCATACCGCGGCCCCCATGCAATGGCCTGCCCCCACACTTTGGGAAGGTCTGGACTATGCTATGTGAGTGTCTCAAAATTATAGCAGTAACCAATGTGAGCATATGGTGAATGTTGAGAATGAATGACAGTCATGATCATAAGTTTATTCTTCACTTCTTAAGCTGCTGGAGATTTTAGAAATGTAAAGTGTGTGTTGTTAACGCTACACTCAATTAGATGGATACTGGTTAAACATGTGCTTTCCCATATGAAATTCCTTCTGTCCTAATCTCACCTCCTCTTCCTTGGAATCTACCAGAGGTTTCAACTTTCACTTCCTTTTTAGGGCCTTCCTTCAGAGTCAGCGTATTACATCAAGAATAAACTTTACATTTTAATGGCAAGGCAAGGCAACACATCTACACAAAAGGGAGAGTGATGATGCATACACTGTTAGAAAGTCTGCAGATGTTTGCGTCCACTTATTTTTAAAATAAAATGGGTGGATTTTTGTCTTCACTGGTTCACTGGTAACTGTTCAATAGAGTGTATAGTTGGTGGATGAATTACAAGTGGGAAATCTGTGAAAACAAAGAAGAAACACGGCGTCTAAAGACAGCATCATGGAGCAGCCTGAAACTACCAACACTGTGGTAAAGAGCATCCAGAGAAACCACAGCTGTCAAAAGACAACTATTATGTTTTATCATGCACAGTCTGCTCAAACATATTTATTGCAGGCAAGTTTAAACGACACTAGTAGGCACTCAAAGACAACAAATGACTGCTGCAGTATGTTCTCTTTTACTGTACACACACACACACACACACACAAGACAAAAAAACAAACAAACCAAATAGCTTATAGTCCAACGTAAAGATGAACGTGACTTTGTACAGCTTGATCACATGATGCTTCAGAGTCCGAACATGCTTCACTTTGTCTTACACTCTCTCTCTCTTTCATGCACATACGCGTTCATGATTATTCCTAGGAAATTTCAGCCTGTAAAAATGACAGGATTACAGCTCCAAAGAAAGAAAAAAACAGTATTTTTTTGGATTGAAGGGCTTTGATATAAAAGCACTTGTTTACAAATGCAAGTGAGCCAAATTGATGTTCATCACATAAATGTCTAACAAGCACAGGCAGACAGAGATGGACTATTTCCAATGTAGCTGCCTTTGTGTCTAAGTGCTGGAATTAAGTGTGGTGCAATATGACTGACCCACGTGAAAAAGCTGGTATGGGGAAAATAATCCCTGGAAATTGTCTTTATGTTCCTACAAGGATTTTAGGCTTGATACTAACAAAAGGAGAGTAGAAAAAGAAAAATATACAAGGCAAAAAGGGATCACCACTCTGAAGGTTGGGGCTTGTTTGGCTCAGTCACAGGGAAGATATTTTTAGCTTAACTGTCATCCAAACAATGACTTTCTGGACAAGTTTGTTGAATTATAAAATATCTGAAAATATCATAAATTATATCAATGATCTAACTGAGAATGTTCACCAGCAGCATTATGCTTCATCAACATAGCACAAACTAAAACATTATTATTGTTTCAGCCAGAGTACCAGAGGAAACACAGCACAGCAAAGTATGAGTTAAAGATAATGTGTCTTTAGGTTGACATTAGTTATAACCCTCTGCACTTCAAGTATGCCGGTTACCGGAAAAACCTTTATCGTTGCAAATCACAGACAATCTTTATGGTTTACTTGGATTACTAAAGAGGAATGCAGTGTGGGGGTGACAGTCATGACAAAGCTCACTTTTCACTAGTAAGAAAGCAAGAAAGAGATTACAGTTGCAACACTTGGTGTTGAGCCAATTCTTAGTTTTATCTGAGCCACAATAGCAGTTCCAGAGTACTGCTGACTGAAAGCCAGCTGTGATGCAAGATATCTGTGAAAACTATATTCTAACTGAAAGCCAGCAGTATTTTCACCAGAATCTTTATTTGGATCCCAAAATTCAGGTGTTAAAGAGGGTCACCGAATATGTGTTAATGATCAGACTATACCATTCTGAGGCCATGCGATTCAACAAAGGCATCTGCATTAGAGCAGAGTCCATATAAAGACGGAGGGATGGAGCAGTCAACTTTGTGATTTTCCATAAAACTGCAAAAAGGTCATCAAAGTGTGTTTGGTGGACTCTCCTGTGCTAATGTGCCCTGACAAAAGCAGGATTTGAGAATGAGCTCTGGAGATTCAGCGGGAAACAAATCAGACAATGATGCCTTTGCTCTGGATGTCTGCATCACAGCCCAGTTACTCGTCTTTGTATGAGGAATAACAAAAGACTATGAAGGAACTGGCAGTAGTGCCAGTCAGTGATAGGGACTACAGTAGGAAGTGATTTGTTCTTGAAGGTAACTCCAAGCTTAGCTAAGGCTTAACCTGCAATGGGATACACTGGCAGGTTTTACAACCTATGCATGTCCAAATCTGACCACGAAGAATGCCAGACTTCACAAAAGGCCCAGTTTCTTATGTGGCCCATTGGAAAAATTCATTGCTCACCATTGGATTGGAGCCCCCACACCCCCAAGAAAATATTATGTCAATATGTTTAGAAAGAAATAATATTTAGATAAGGCATATTCCTCTGGGGACTCAGTACATCACATCCTTACAATGATGAAAGTGCACACTCTGCTTACAAACACGCTGATTTCAAAAGGATAGAAACACAATGCACATTTACTGTGTTTATGCAAAGATACACAAGTACATCTCCAAAGAATGGATGAAAAAATGCCTTTTTAGTAGAGTTCTAAGGAGGGCATGTTATGCTCTAACATTCCCTGTCTTTTTATTTACTGTAAATCTCAGGAAAAGACAAATGCTGTTTATCGTAAGGAGAACTGTAAGTAAACTTTGAGGAGAGTGCAACAGAAAGAGTAAAAGATTAGGCATCAGCGCTTCTGCTGTCCAAACTGTTGATATTAGACTGATCCTTGAGAGAGATTTCACTTCTCTGGAAGTAGCTCAGCAACATAAAAGTAAATTTATTCTCAAGACTCACACATTAGTGACTGGAGTTAGTTCAAACATGAAAAGGGAAGTCTGACGTCAGTTTCAGCGAATACAAGCGACACCTGAAGGCAGGCATGTCTCAACATAAAGAAGTCACAGACAAAGTCCTTACAATTAGGTGAACGTAGAAAGTTTAAATGCCAAAGAATTGCGACAGCAGGATTTACAGTGTGGGAGAACGCAAATCAAAAAAACAATTTTTTATTGCAGCCACTTCTTAGGAAGAAATCCTTGGCCGGGGTCCACGTACCTGTGAGTGTATATAAGGAGTTCAGAGATGATGAACCTCACAGCCCTGCACACTCAGGCAGCTCGAGAAGTGAAGGAGACGCACAGCAGCAGAGATCCTTCATATCTGAGAAGAACAAACCAGTTGAAGACTGAGCCTTCAGTAGATCCTCCACTCAATACTTGAAAAGCTTTAAGATGAAGACAAGTGTTGCCATCCAGTGCATCGTTCTCCTGGCCTGCATGGCCCTTTGCACTTCACATGGTAAGTGTGTTTCATCAGATTATGGAAAACTTTGGTGTATTTGTGCAGTTTGAGAGGAGCTAAGTTATGCCAACAAATCAATTTAGATATATTTATGTTTAAGTAAAATATGAAACTGCTGCAGTTTAACATTAATTATCACTTTCTACCTTTTCCAGTTATTCCAAGGTGCCGGTGTGTGAACACCAGTAAGTCTGTAAAGATCGCTCTCATCGCTCAACTCAAGGTGGATGAGCCTCGTCCATACTGCAACAGGAGAGAAGTCATGTAAGTGCCCACAGTGACAGGAGCACATTATTAATAAGAGCTCAGTCATTAATAAGGATTGTTTATAAAGTGGTTTTAAATCAAAGCTTTCTTTACATGTTACAGAGTCACACTGAAGGATGGGAGTGAACGGTGTCTCGATCCTCAGTCAAAATTCACCATAATGCTGCTAGAAAAACTGTAAGTCACACAGATGTTTTTTTTCTTTCATTCGCTGTTATTCAGCTAAATGTGAGTTAAATGTTATAGAGGACGTCAGTGAAGTTAAAACAGGAACATCAACTCACTTTGGAGCATCGTGCGAGGCTCTGCACATCAGTGATTAAAAATCAGAATCAGCATACTTTATTAAACCCTAAGGAAATCGTGTGGGTTAGAGTTGCTCCAGTATGGTAACACAACACTGATGGTTTTACTGATGGTTGTAGAGCAGCAGTTTAAAGCTCAGGGTAAAAATGCATGACTTGATCTCTTCACTACCACTGGAGATTCAAGGTCTCATCTCTGTGACACGTTGTCTTTGCAGGAATCAGATGAAAAATACGACCGTCAGCCCTCAAACAACCACATCACCAGCCGCAGTGCCAGAATCATCACGATCCACTTTGCATGTTTAGCGCTGGTACAACATGTGTCGATCAAGAAGGAGCAGCACAGCTCGGGTTCTCATCACAAAATATAAATGCAAAGTAGACAGTGACAGCTACAACTGACAGCAAGTTGTAAACAGATTTAATATCAGATGTAAAATATTTATTATCCAAGTTCTCAGTCATTTTTTTCCGGAGACAATCAGGGACGGGCGTTGGAAATCTTATCATTCAGCCTGTCTTCTGATTGAATTTCTGATTAATAAGCTTTTTTTTTTTAAAAAGTATGTTTTTTGAGTTTTGTGTCAGACAGCAGCGCTCTTATTCAGTGCACATGCAGACGTGATGTGTGTGATAAATGTGAGCAGTGGTTATAGGTTAATGTGTAATTTATCTATTATTAAAGGGTTTGTAAGCAATTAAAGAAGTGAACTTTTGTGGATACAGCATGTTTATGTACCATGTTTATTTTTAATGCTGAAAAGTTCCTCAAAATAAATAATAAATCTGGCGTTTGTTAAAAAAAATTACATCTTTTCACTTTATTATAACTAACAACTCACCAGTTTACCACCACTTTAGACACAGTCAGCAAAAAGAGAACAAAAACAAACAAAACAAAAGGAGAGGCCGAATCTAAATATCAATATGTTTGGCATTAAACCTGGTTTCACTTCAAACTATGAGCATCAACTGAAAGAAAAAAAGGTTCCAAGTCATTAAACTGCTTTGCTTTTATCTCTGAGCTGTGAAAGAGATTGATTCATGAGCAGTGATGTGTTGCAGCATCACTCACAGTAGATCAAGACAGCAGATTGGATGTAAGCATGTGTAAAAACACAGATATGCTTAAAAAGGAAAAAGTTTCTTTCTTCAAGATCAGCGTTATGTAGGACACTCACTGGCCATTTTATTAGGTACACCTCTCTAGTACTGAGCCCACTCTTGCTTTGGACTTCCTGTTTCCTTCATATCAGCTTGAAGCACTCTGGTCGTTTTCTGGCATCAGAACTCCCGCTCACTGGAAATTTCTTCTTTTTCTGCCCTTTCTCTGTAAACCACAGAGGTGGTTGTGTGGGAAGAAATCTGTAAATAAAAGTTTATAAAGAAGTCCCCTTTATAATTCCTGGACTGCAACTAAAAAGATGATAAACCTGAAATATATAAATTATGACTGTTTT